GTTGGGGTGCTGGCAGCTATGACTCAAAGTTCATGGTCTTCAGTCCTTTGACATAACCAAGTGATCACAGGCATGACCTGTAAACTTTTAAAATCTACAATGATGACATCCCAGCCACAGTCGTTTCCCTGATTCTCCACTCCATAATGAGACCCTGATGAGGCAATCTACCACCAATCATGCTTTTGTGGGTTTTTCCTTTCATCTCTAATTAGACCCAACTTGAATTCATTAGGCTCTATCTTGGACGTCCCTAAATATTCCCCTTGTCTGGGTGATTGTCTTGGCCCCATCTAACGCTTCATAAAAAGACCCTGGTGGTGTAGTAGTCATGCGTTGGGCTTTTATCTGCAAGGTCGACAGTTTGAAACCACCAGGCACCCCTCAGGAGAGTTCTTACTCCTGGAAAGAGTTACAGGCTTGAACACCCACAAGGGAAACTCTATCCTATCCTAGAGGGTCACTATAAGTCAGGATGGGCTCGATGGCAGGGAGAAGTTGTTTTGTTTTTAAGGCTTAAAAAGGGGTTCTCCATCAAATATGTTTGAATTAGGGGTCTATGTTCCCCTAGAACAAAGCTCAGACTGAGACAGTTTAATTTAAAAAAAAAAAAAGGGAAGAAAGAGTAAGTTTTAGGTCTGCAGGGAAATCTTTCGTTAATGGTACCAGGAGAGTGTGTACCCCAGCCTGGTACCCAACCCTTACAAGGCCATAAGGATACCGTAAAACATTGTTGAATGGTTTCTTATATATAGTGCATCTCAAAACATAAAGAAACAAGAAATATCCTTGAAATATAAGACAGGGGAATGGAAACATTTTTAAGTTCCTATGAAGTGTGAGTCAGCCCAAAAGGCCTTCCATTAGGAGACATTAAAGTCTGGAAAAAGGAGGAGACGCATTTACAGATCCATTTGCCATTCAGTAATTTAAATAGTTGTCTGAAGAGGGCATTATGTCTCGAAATGAAACTCTCCTGCATAGGACCCATGAAGGAGATGAAAGCTCCATTAACTGTCTTTGCCAAGAGCCACCACTGCATACTCTGAGAAGTGAAATATGGGCGTTGGTCACTATCAGTCATCTCAGGAACTCGAAAGGAGAGAAAACGTACCCTGGAAAGGTTTAGTACATTGAGAGAAATATGTGGCCTTGCTATATTGCGGCCATCTGTGAGGCAAAAGACTCCTAGAGTTCTGTACTCTAAAGGGTCCAACGCCTAAGTTGTGGACCCAGAGTGTGAAAATGTGGGGAAGGGCCATTTGGCATCCAGTGATACAGTGACAGTGGTCTGGGGTTTGCCCAGTTCTGCTGAGCCTGGGGTCCTAGCCATGATCGAACATCCTGACTAATGGATGGAAAGCAGCATGTTTCAGCCCCCCTCCACCACTTTGGGCAGAGGTTTTCAACTCACTGCCATCAAGTTGATTCCAAGCCCATAGTAACCTTATAGGACAAGGTTAAATTGCCCTTGTGGGTTTGAATCTGTAACTATTGACAGGTATAAAAAAGCCTTACCTTTCTGTGGAGGAGCGACTGGTGGATTTGAACTGTTACTCTAGTGTTTAGCAGTCCACGATACCACAAGGAGCATGAGGGCAGTGCCTTCTATGCAGCCCACAAATTTTCATTTCTGTTCACTTAGTTGATGCAAGGGGATCAAGTAGCCCAAGGGGCTGACAGACTTCCTCGAGGACCTTCGCAGCTGGCAAAGGCCTGAAGCCAGGAAAAGGCATCTCTGCTGCAGTTGAAGCATGCGCTACAGTTTATGTTTGGCTCTATCCAGGACAAAGGTGGGCTGGGCAGTTGTGGTTGTATGTGTTGCTGCCATGACCCAAGGTATAATAGGCAGTGGGTACGAAGGGTCACAGGCTCCTAGTTGTTGAGGGCCTTCTCTCCCAACAGAGCCCACCATGTGATCAACAATTTCCCTACTTTACTGATATCTGACAACAGTACAAAGGACAGTTCCTTGTGTCACAAAGCAATTAGCAAGGTATAGACTCCGTGGGTGGCTCAGAGACTCCAGGAGGTGTCAGAGGAAGTTGTTAAACTCCTACAGTGAAAGAGTCTCTGTGGAGACTGGCAGGAACCTTGGTGTGTAACAGTGACACATTGGGATGCTAACTGCAAGGTCAGCAGTTCCAAACCCACTGCTCCACAGGAGGAAGCCAGTGGTTTCAACTCCTGGAAAGAGTTTCAGCCTCTGAAACATAAGAGTTAAGTAAAACTCACATGGAGACTGTGTTGCTTTCAGAAGCCAGGACTGGTGTGCTGTCACTGTGCTAAGCAAATCTCCTTAGAGTTTTATTAATGGAGTGATTATTTTGCCCTGGAGAAGGTGGGAGGAATGAAGAGTTCCATCTGCAAAGATGGCATTTTAAAGGTGTCTCACTGAAAATTCACTGGCTAGCCTGTGCCAACTCATAGCAGTTCTATAGTAGCGAACTTCCTCTGGGTTTTACCAGGCATAAGGCTCACGTAGCTTGCCTTGGAGGTTGTAAGGTCTGTGTTGAGTGGCGAAAAATCACGAAAGTCCTTTCACATGCAAAGCCAAAGTGCAAAATAATTACCAAACTGAGCACTGAGTAGATTACATCTCTTTAAAATGATAACAGAAGTGGCTCTGAAAAGAGCCTTTGGGTAAGTAAAACAAAAGCTGCTCACTTGGCGCTGGTGTACTTGGTGACGGCCTTGGTGCCTTCGGACACGGCGTGCTTGGCCAGCTCCCCGGGCAGCAGCAGGCGCACGGCCGTCTGGATCTCCCGCGACGTGATGGTCGAGCGCTTGTTGTAATGCGCCAGGCGGGACGCCTCGCCGGCGATGCGCTCGAAGATGTCGTTGACGAACGAGTTCATGATGCCCATGGCCTTGGACGAGATGCCCGTGTCGGGGTGGACCTGCTTCAGCACCTTGTACACGTACACCGAGTAGCTCTCCTTGCGGCTGCGCTTGCGCTTCTTGCCGTCCTTCTTCTGCGCCTTGGTCACCGCCTTCTTGGAGCCCTTCTTCGGGGCGGGCGCAGACTTGGATGGCTCGGGCATAATGAAGAAAATCTACAAGTTGGCAGAAAAAGTTTCAAAAATGATACGGACAGCTAACGGTCTCATCCTTTATAAGCCTTGTAGGCAAATGAGGTCTGGAACTGTAATCTGATCTGATGCGAAAAAACGTTGTGTTCTAAAATATGTAAATTTACTTCTTACGCATCTCTTTTCTTATTGGTTGGCTATGATTTTAACCAATCCGAGCACGCCTTCTACAAGTCCACCTAACACTATAACAGGCTCCTTATTGCTCCACTGCAAACCTCCCATCTGTGCTTTCTCCTCTATCTGTGCATTGCTTGTTGCTGCCACACCAACATGTCTGGACGCGGAAAGCAGGGCGGCAAGGCTCGCGCCAAGGCCAAGACGCGGTCGTCCCGCGCCGGGCTCCAGTTCCCGGTGGGCCGCGTGCACCGCCTGCTCCGCAAGGGCAACTACTCGGAGCGGGTCGGGGCGGGCGCGCCCGTGTACCTGGCGGCCGTGCTGGAGTACCTGACAGCCGAGATCCTGGAGCTGGCGGGCAACGCGGCCCGCGACAACAAGAAGACGCGCATCATCCCGCGCCACCTGCAGCTGGCCATCCGCAACGACGAGGAGCTCAACAAGCTGCTGGGCAAGGTCACCATCGCGCAGGGCGGCGTCCTGCCCAACATCCAGGCCGTGCTGCTGCCCAAGAAGACCGAGAGTCACCACAAGGCCAAGGGCAAGTAAATGCCATATAGCCCACTCGTGTAAGCCTAAGAAATCAAAGGCTCTTTTCAGAGCCACCCACATTTTCTGAAAAGTGCTGAAATACATTTCAATTTTAGATGTCCTACAAAGGTGTTTTTTCCTTCATGTTAAGACAATCGCTGGAGCTGCCATCCCTTCAATGGGAATCACTACATCTTTGACACTTGTTACATTTCATGAGCCACAGCGGAATGATGGAAAACTAGTTTCTATATTTTAAGGAGGAATTAATTAGAGCATTTATGAAAGTCCTAAAATAACCAGGTCGGTAATGGAACAACTTCCAACTCTGTTAGAGCATATGGACTACATAAATACTTCCAAATGAACCTTGTATTCTGTATATCTGCATATATATAAACGCATACTGGTGGAGTATACGTGTGTACTGTATTCACAGCAGTAAAATGCCAGAAAAAAAATGAGAACAAAGAAGTAGAGTTGACCAATAACATTGCAGCGCGGGCCTTTTAAATTTGAGGCTGATGGCAAAGCGACCAATGGGGTGAGGGACGTTTTCATTTTAATTTTAGAATGCTCTTGCTATGTACCTTAAAGACAAGACAATAAATGAAGTACATCAAAATAAAGCTGAAGTAAAATCTCCCTTTTATGTACTAAATTTAAAAGTGAAATGAGCGGCAAAGAAAATGTTATATTCAGTGTCAAATCGAAAGCCAATCACATTTCTCCTGACATCTTCAGAACCAATTACATCACAGGGCGGGATTACGAACGGTGCTGACCTTTTCCTATAAGTAGGGTCCGAAACTGTTCTGTGCTGCTCTCCTGTGTCCCCTTCACTCTAGCTGTAGTTATGGCTCGCACCAAGCAGACGGCTCGCAAGTCCACCGGCGGCAAGGCGCCGCGCAAGCAGCTGGCCACCAAGGCGGCCCGCAAGAGCGCGCCGGCCACGGGCGGCGTGAAGAAGCCCCACCGCTACCGGCCAGGCACCGTGGCCCTGCGCGAGATCCGGCGCTACCAGAAGTCGACGGAGCTGCTGATCCGCAAGCTGCCTTTCCAGCGGCTGGCGCGCGAGATCGCGCAGGACTTCAAGACGGACCTGCGCTTCCAGAGCTCGGCCGTCATGGCGCTGCAGGAGGCCAGCGAGGCCTACCTGGTGGGGCTCTTCGAGGACACCAACCTGTGCGCCATCCACGCCAAGCGGGTCACCATCATGCCCAAGGACATCCAGCTGGCTCGCCGCATCCGCGGGGAGAGGGCATAAGTTCAGCCAATTAACCTCACTGAAAAAAGGCTCTTTTCAGAGCCACCCATCTTGTCTGAAAAAGGTGTTGTAATACAGTCACTTAAATATTCATTGTAAGTACAAACTTAGGACTTGCGCGGCATGCCATAGTTTTAGAGGTGCATTTTTCCCGTTTCTTAATATATTGACTGCCATGTGCCTGTATCTTCTGGTCTTGCTTTCACATCCTTTTCAGTGATTATTCAATACCCCTGTCCAAAGGAAGAGTGCCTACATTATTTGGGAGACCAATAATCAAGATTGCTTAAACCCCTACTACAGTTGTGCCACAGAAATGGCTTTGTGATCTCCACTCTAGCAAGCCCTGGGTGCTGCTTGGGAGTAGATAGCAATTGTAGAAGACAAAACAACGGAGAGTGCTAAGGAGCCAGCCTCCACTTCTGCTTACAGCTATTAGTCTTCATCCTGTTGACTTTGTTTTCCCAAAGGTGAAGTCAGGATTCAGCAAATGCAAAATATACTTAATGTCTGAGCTGAATTTCACAATGAATGGCAATTACTGTGTTACTATATACAGTCAAAACAATCAAGAAACCAGTACTACCCGACCATTGAACCAAGAAATGTTAAATGATAAAGTAGCTGAACTTTTTACAATAAGATTTTAATCTTTTATCTTCCCTCAGTTAACAGAACAAAGCATGTGTTCTCATAATTGTTGAGTGGCCTGTTATCTATAGGGGTCATGTCATCACTGTGTTTTCTTTCTGGAAAACAAGCCATGAGTATATAGATATACATGTATTCATGATTATGTAGACTCATATACATTCACATATATCCTGATATATAAATGTCTAAGAAAGTTCACAGCCTAATTGCTTGGTCTCTTACTGTGCTCATTGTATTAGAGTTTGAATTCAGAGCTCAAAATCTACAGAAGGCTATGCTTGATAGGGAAATCCCTAAATCCATTTTCAGCCTCCATTGAATTCTTTCTGACCATTAACCAGCCATGTGAAAAGCTTTCCCCTCAAGCAGTGTGTTAGTGGATTACGAACACTTCCCTAGCCAATGCAGGGTGGGGCAGTTTAGTCTTTCCACACTTAGCTGGGTTTGCCCTTGGAATATGAGAGCTACCAGGGTGCTCACGGACACGGAATCCTGGCAGCGTAGTGATTAGGCTGCTAACTTCAAAGTCGGCAGTTTGGAAACACCAGCCAGTCCAGGGAAGAAAGATCAAGCTTTCTACTCTGGTAAAGAGTGACGGTCTCACAAACTCACAGGGCTAGTTTTACCATGTCCTATAGGGTCCCCATGAATCAGCAGTTAGTTGGATTTTGTGGGGGTTTTTTGCTCCCCACCACCACCACTAACATCATTAGCCAGATAGTAAGTAGATACTTTAACTTTTAACTCTTTCTAAGCTCCAAAGTAATTGGCCTGATTTTTCCATCTCAGTATTAATTTTTACCTGGCTTCCCAAAAGAGCAAATTCTTTTGTTTTTGTTGTTGTTGTTGTTGTTGTTCATAAAATGCTTTTCCATTTATACTTTGTTTTGTTTTGTGTTTGTATTTTATAAACCAAAGATTGCATGTCATATTGCGCAAAAGTTTACTTAAAAACGAAGTGAAAAAACACTGCCATCTAATAATGACAACTCATAGCCTCCCTCTAGGGCAGGGTAGAACCACGTTTGAGTTTCAGAGACTCTACCCTTTAAAAAAAAAACCTCACGTTTTAAATCATTTTATTGGGGGCTCGTACAGTTCTTATCACAAGCCATCCATCCATCCATTGTGTCAGCACATTTGTACATTTGTTGCCATCATCATTCTCAAAACATTTGCCTTCTACTTGAGCCCCATTTTTAACTCTTTATAGGGATAAAAAGCCTCCTCTTTCTCCTGAAGAGAAGCTAATGGTTTCAAACTTTGGACCTTGTGGTGAGTAGCCAAACTCATAACCACTACTCCAACAGGCTCCTTTGAGGTTTATTTTGGGAGTCATTCCATTGCTGTAAGACTCAGTTTTGGATTTCCTCCCCCAAAGCAACTGTACTATAGGACAAAACATTAGCACAGAATTTGATTGACCTGCCTGCCATGGAACAATTCCAACTCCAAGAATTTTTTAAGCTATTTCTCTTTTCCTGACTTGCTAAGTAATGATTCATTTGACGGCACCCTCCTAGTCCTGGAACATGATTTATTTTTTAAATGTTCACAGTGCTTCTTTCTGATTTGAGTCCAGTGTGTACAACTGGGTTTCTTAGAAATGCAAGAAATATCTGCTTTATTACAAAGCCAATGCTATCAAGATTGGAGAGTGTGGGGAGGATTCTCTAATTCAGAGGAAAAAATCAAACTCCTAGAGCTGTGCTGTGTATATCCGGAGCCTCATGTGAATCTGTGCTATTGGAAAACAGCAGCACCTAATGATAGCTTCCCACCCTTTGTGTTTATGACAATGGCCTGCTGGAAATGATCATCCTTCTCCATCTGACCAAGGCAAGACTTACATGGCAGGTGACATTCAAAGGCATGACATATGTAAAAATAAAGCAGTTTGAAATTGGAGCCTAAGTTCCAGTTTCAAGTGCCAATATGAGTCTAAGAATCCAGATTACATTGTAAAGCTGTTTTCTTTCCTGTGGGAGTAAGATGGTTCAGCCAAACCTCCTATCTGGTTGGCAGTAGCTGGCAGTAACTTCACATCCCCTCTTTCATATGCTGTCCCCTCGCCAATAAAGCTGTCTTTTACCAGCCTTTCCTGGAGCCTTGATACTGACCTATCTTTGACACTGACTAAAACATGCCCTGAAAGAGGCATTCTTTTTCTCTGGCAGGTTAGGATATTACGATCTATTTTTAAAAGGGTTTTTCTAATGTGGTCAAACAGATGTAAGGTTTGGATGCACAGTATTCTAAATAAATCAACTAATATTAATAGCAGGTTACTACCTAAAATATGTCCTACCATTGTCCTATGACCACCCTGTACAAAACTGAAAAGTATTAACCTTGTAATTATATGCATAGGATCTCAAATATGTTACCTGCCGATCTGTGCTAAATCCCCACTAAGCTATTCTGCTTTTGAGTCCACTAATTGCCTTTCACTCAAATAGGATTTTAGTACTTTTAGCTCCGCCTCCAACTGTGCAAAAATGTTTTCTTGCTCATTGTCCAGCAGAGAGGCCGTCTTCACTCTGTGCATTTGGATGTCTGGGGGGTTGGGGAGGGGTGGTTTGGGGAGAGTCCAGACTTTCATATGCCTCAATAAACTGGTGTCGATTTTACTTAAACAAACTCCATGATGTTGTTCTCTGACAGGTCCATCAATGTGGTTTACCTGTGACACAGATCTTCCAAATCCCATTCTTTGCTTCTTCAATTCTTTGTCCTCGCTGTCACGTTGAGAGCTAGTAAGTGTCTAACCCAAGCCATGGTATTTTCAATCACCTAGCATGCATGAGAAAGTTGGACCATGGATCAAGAAGGTCTGAGAATCAATGCCTTTGAGTTAGGGTGCTGACAAAGAATACCGAATAAACGAAGACAGGCAGAAGAATCATCAAATCTGTCTCGGAAGAAGTAGGGCCAGAATGCTCAGGAGAAGCAAAGATCTGAGGACTCCCGATTTGGAACATATCATCAGAGGCAAACAGCCGCTGGAGAAGGAGTTTGTGCTTACTAAAGTGCATGTGTGCCAAAGAGACAGGATCTGAAGAATGAGGGGAGCAAGAGGAGAAAAAAAGAAAAGAAAAAAACAGTGCAAAAGGATATTGTTGTTGATTTCAGTTCTTGAGGAAATCCGAATCGTTTATGCCCACGTCAGCCCATTGCTTCTCTGGCTAGGAGTCCTGGTAGCATAGTGGCTGCATGTTGAACTGCTAACCACAGGTCAGCAGCTACTCCACAGGAGAAAGATGAGGGTTTCTGGTCCCATAAAGCAACAGTTCTCAACCTGTGGGTCACGACCCCTTTGGGAATCAAACCACCTTTTCACAAGGGTCGGCCGATTCATCACAGTACCAAAATGACAGTGATGAAGTAGCAATGAAAATAATTTTATGGTTGGGGGGGCTCACCACAACATAAGGAACTGTGTGAAAGGGTCAAGGCATTAGGAAGGGTGAGACCCACTGTGTAAAGAATTATAGACTGAAATCCACAGGGGCAGTTTTTCCCAGTCCTATGGAGTCACTATGAACTGGACTTGACAGTACCAGTTGGTTTGGGTTTGGAGTTTTGCATACTTTAAAGGAGCCCTAGCACCAGGCTTCCAGTCACAAGGTTGACAGTTCAACTTGTAAGATGCTCCAAGGGAGAATGATGGAGCTATCTTCTTTCCTAATGATCTTGGAAATCACAAGCAGTTCTATTCAATGTCAGAGAATTTTTGTATACTCTGAGTGTCCGTCGAAGAAAATGTTTTCCCTAATTCTGAGATGCTTGCATGTATCTATTACAACAGTCCTCCTCCCCACACTATTGAAATAAGTCATTTTCCTTTCCCACTTTTTCTTTTGGAATAAAGCTTCTTATAACAGAACTTACATGTGATTTTTATTAGCTAGCTACCTATAGAAAATCATGCAAGCAACATATGTAAATTAAGAGGGTTTTTTTTTTCTTTCAGTAACCCTAATAGGACATAGGGCAGTTGAAATTACTTTCGTAAATGTTTAAAATGCTATAATATAATCAACATAAAAACATAGTCAATGCAATATTTTACATGCATGTGTAGAGAGTGGCTTGAAAATTGGATGTATATTTTATTCAATGAGGTTCTAAATTCATATTGAACATACTTCCTATATACATGTAGGTTTCATAACCTTCATAGTAGAACATGTAAATTCATAGGCCCAAGTTGTGCAAACATGAATAAAAGTTTTTAGATATAAATGAGTTAAAATCACACAAAACCATAAATTCCGGTTCCCAGCAGTGCCAGGGTACAGCAAGTGTGCCTGGACTATCGTTTTAGGATAAAAAAGAGACCCTTTTTCAAATATAATTTGAAGAGAACGTTTATTAAGTCTTAAAACAGACAAAGACAGCATAAAGTCACAGACATATTATCTGGATAAGTGAGGTAGGTCACCAAAAAGTGGTTAAAATGGACCCAAGAATTCGCCAGGGGGAAGCAAGATAAATAGGGCATGGAGGATGGGAGGTGTCAGAGCAAAGGACACTCACCAAAGCATGAGCGGTGGCAGATCAATACATCACAATTACAGGTGAGACTGCAGAAGCAGGGATGGGACAAGGATTGCGACACATGTATCATTCAATAAAAGAGTTCACATGATTGGCCCAGGGCCTTCCAACCAAAGCCATCAAAGTATGATTGATAAAGTATGATTCATGACTAAGCAAACCCAATTCAATGAGCTCCATCAAGGACACACCTAGGCAAGCCCCTAAGAGAGACTGCCCTTCCCTGGGCTGGCCACAGTGGACTGGAGGAAGTCCATTCTCCAAGGCACTCCACCTGAGAGCAAGATTATCGAAATTCCTGCTTAACGAACTGAAAGCATTCAATGAATGTTTATGTGGGAACTCTGCAAATGGATTTTGGGCCTTTTCCCACACCAGAGTACTCACCCTGTAAGCTCAAATACACTACCATCTAGGACAACACAATTGGGAGAAGGATGCTACGGACTGCCATGTCAATTGGAGGTTCCCCTCAGCTGCTGTCAAATCTCGTGGCAACATCATGTGTGCAGAGAGCTGCTTCACAAGGTTTCCAAGGCTTTTGAGAAGATCTGACCCCTATGCTTGTCTGTCTCAGAGTGGGTCTGAGCTACCAAATGTTCCCGTATTTGTACTTGTTTTATGGTAGAAAAGAGACCAAAATCTCAAATGTAATTGAAGGTGAGTCTTTATGAAGCGTTAAACAGCACAAACACAACACAAAGACAAAGAGATGATCGGGATGAGAGAGGCCATTACTCACAATGACATTTGAGGATTCATACACACACCAGTGTTTACATAAGCCACGTAACACAAAGGAAAGAGTCACAACTTCATCATTGACTGCAGAACAAAAAACACAGTTACAGGTGGGCCCACAGAAGTGGGAATGGAACCAGACTGGAAAATTTACCAAATGTTAGGCAGGAGAGTTTACACAGTTGGCACACGGCCTTCTGCCCAAAGCAGTCAGGGCCCAACTGTTAGAGCAGACAGGACTCATGTCCTTGAGGCCACCGGCACTGGACTTTCCATCTAGGACACACCCTCAGGGAGACGGCCCCTGCCCGGGCTGGCTGGAGTGGAATGGAAGTCATTGATTTCCCAAAGCTCTTTGCCTGAGGACAAGACTATTGTCATCCCTAGTTGATGGTAAGAAAGGATTCAATCAAGCTTCCATCCACGCTGGGACTCTGCAAGTGGAATTTGGGTTTTCACGGCCATCGCCTTCTGCAATTGGGGTGCTTCAAATTGAAACTCGATTGCATGCAACACAACCAAACAAGCTCCCATTTTCAGTCGAGTTCATTGGGATTCAACTTGGACACAACTGCCCTCCACTTGGAATCAACTGCCCTCCAGGCACTGTAGGCAAAGCACTGGGTGGCTAAAGCTGCAGGAGAAACTTGAACCTGCTCCATAAGCACCCGCTCCCAAGAAGATGGATAGTTTGGGAAACCCTGTGGATCACGATGAGTGGAATTCACCTGGATGGCAGTGGGAATTGGGGATCAGGGTGCTTAATAAGCGGCAGTATTCCAAGGCTGTAATGTTTATGGAAACAGGCTACCACAGCTTCTCTTCTCCAGGCCCCAGAAGTGCTGGTGAATGAAAACTGCCTGCTTTTCTGTTAGCAGTTACTAAACCACTGCACCAGCAGGGTAACCCCCTAAATTAGAGAAGATTCTTGTAAATGCAATCATGTCAATTTAGCACTGACTTCCAAAACAAAAGAATCTAAATCCTAAGGGATCTGGATTATGAACTCAGGTGGCAAACTGATGGAAAGGGACATTGCAAGGGCCAATCTCCAAGGCAGGGAGATGGGGTTCACAAATACTATCCTGGAACACTGGGTTCAATGGTTGAGCCAAATTTTATCTTGTGTTGTCAAATCCCTTTCTGATATATAGAACAACTTTTTCTTTTAAAAAAGTGTAAGAAACTAGCCTTAAAAAAGAAAGCAAAAGCCACAAAACAAAAAATCACCTCCAACGGGGAGCTAGAAGTCTATAGGGCAGTGGTTCTCAACCTTCCTCATGCCTCTACCCTTTCTTACAGTTCCTCATATTGTGGTGACCACCAAACCATAAAATTATTTTCATTGCTGCTTCATCAATGTAATTTTGCTACTGTTATGAATCAGGTGACCGCTGTGAAAAAGTGGTTCGACCCCCAAAGGGATCATGACCCACAGGTTGAGAAGCGCTGCTTTTAAGCAAAGGGTACCTTACAAACCTAATTTGGGAACAACCTTACCAGCTTACACACTCATTTTGCACAATAGATTTCCAGTCTCTCCTGTACAGCTAGAGGACCCCTACTGGCATAGTTGATTGGCAGCTAATTGGAAGGTCAGTAGTTTGAATCCATCTTGCTCAGAGGGAGACCTTTAAGGCTTTCTACTCCCAGCATAATCTCCACGATGAGTTTTTGTTTCCACTCTCTCCAGAGCCGCTGAGCTTATCTCACAAACCACCTGCTCTTGAATGAAGTGCACACGTTTCTCAGGAAGGAGAAAAGCAAGATATTCCTTTATGTGTTAATGCAGGGCAAATATAATTTCATTTAGTAACATGCTTACCATGTGCAAATATCCTAAACTAAATAACAAAAGTAACTTAATAGGTACATTCTTCCCTCTTGCTACACAGTTTCGTTTTATAAAACACACTTAAGGCAAACTGCAGAGAACTGAAACTGTGAACAGAAACACAAAAGAACCTTTGTCGCCTACATGCAAAAAAGGGCATTGTGGGCGGGGATTAAATATGCTGCCTGTCCCGCCTTCTTACTGCGGCTTCGTTTGTAGTTCCCAACAAGGTCCCCTGAGGTACTATAAATAAGAAGCTCGGCCTTTCCTCCCTACTCACTTAGCATTTGCAAGATGTCCGGTCGCGGCAAAGGCGGGAAGGGCCTGGGCAAAGGGGGCGCCAAGCGGCACCGCAAGGTGCTCCGCGACAACATCCAGGGCATCACCAAGCCCGCCATCCGCCGCCTGGCTCGGCGCGGCGGCGTCAAGCGCATCTCGGGGCTCATCTACGAGGAGACGCGCGGCGTCCTCAAGGTGTTCCTGGAGAACGTGATCCGCGACGCCGTCACCTACACGGAGCACGCCAAGCGCAAGACGGTCACGGCCATGGACGTGGTCTACGCGCTCAAGCGCCAGGGCCGCACCCTCTACGGCTTCGGCGGCTAAACGTAATTTACGGGGCATCGCTTCTGCAAACACAAAGGCCCTTTTCAGGGCCACCTATCCACTCATGAGAGAGCTAACTCTTCGACATTGTCGTTATTTCAACTGTATCTATTCTGATGACTCCACATTAGGTTAATTCCTAAATGGTATATTGGGCAGTGCTGGAGTTTTTTTAATCTGGCAGATCAGTGTCCAGCGGTAAACCTTTTGTGGACTCAAATGAGTATAGAGAAATAAACATGCAGTTGTATAACAAACTGCATCAGAACATGGAAAAAGGGACATTGCAGTCATTGTAATTGGCTTTCACACACACACACACCCCACTCTTGTTCATGTCCCCAACCTGTCCTTGTAGTTTTCAAATTCTTAGTGGAACTCAGCCCCTCTTTCCTGCTTTATGATGTCAAGTGTTTCCTGAGATTGCTGAGCCTGAATTCTTTGTCTCAGGCGTAGCTTCAACTGTATATTCCCGAGTTTGTCCATTCTTCCAGAAAGGGTTTTTGATTGTTTCTACCTTTATCATATTATAAAGGCTGCTGCAGTAGACATGCATGTGCATGTGTCTGCTGTGTTATTTCTCTGTAGTGTACACTAGATAAAGAGATTGCAGGATCATATATTTCTATTCACATTTGGTTAAGGATGCACCATACTAATTACCATAGCGGCTGAGCAATTCTGTAAGCCCACCAGGGATGTATGAGGGTTCCAATCTTCTACATCTCCAGCATTCATTAGTTTTATTTTCAGGAGTTTTGTTAATTTTGCTAAAAGTGTGTGAGGTGGAATCTCATTTTCATTTGTATTTCTCTTATCGCTGATGAACATGAACATGACTGTCGGTGCTGGAGCTTTTACATGCCTGGCAACCCTTGTTTGACTGCCAGGTTACCAAATCCTCCATGAGGTTCTCAGTAGCTGCACTTTCTAGGGTGGAGGAGTGTTCCATGAAGCGACCTTTTTCACTGAAATAACATCCCCCAACCCCTCTTTGGTTAGCAGTCTTTTGCATCCTTACATTCACATGAATACAAGCCAGTAAGGTCAACATTTTCCCTAGTGCAATATAGTAAGTGTCCAAGTCACCCTACAAGTAAAAGACTGCCCAGGCCGGCACCTGACAATCATTGCAACACTTGAGATCATTGTTGTAAGCACTGTCAAGTCATCTCATTCAGGATCTTCCTCCTTTTCAATGTAGTCGTACTCCAAGGACCGATACCTCCTTGATATGACCAACGTATGTGAGGCTTCTAATGAACAGTCTCGCTATATCTCTAAATCATCCGCTCAGTTAATCTGACAGTCCATGGTATATTCCGTTTTCTTTGATGCCAAAATTCAAAGGCATCAATCCTGTCTTATCTACGTGCATTAAATTAAAATGCAGCAATTGAAAATGCCCTGGCTTGGATCAGGTGTACCCTCATTAGTCCTCAAAGTGATACAATATTTATTTTTTATATCTTATTTTTAATTTCAAAGAGGCATTTTTGCAGATTTGCCCAAATATTTTGAGAATGATGAGGCCAATGAATGTACAAATGTGCTTTATACAATTGATGTATGTATGGACGTGATAAGAGTTGTATGAGCCCCTAATAAAATTATTTAAAAGGGAGGGGGGGCGCGAGTGTTTTAGAAAAGTAACTCTAAAGTACGTTCTCTTTCAAGCACCCTCTATTCCGTGTATCCAAACAGGAGAAATATACAAGAATGTTCGAAGAAAAGAATTACCAGATTTGTAGATCAAGCTTTAAAGCAGGAAACGTTAACAAAGAAACCAGTGTGTAGCCAATCTTTTTTTTTTTTTTTTTAGCCAATTCTTTTCAAAGGAGGACGGGATTGTTCATTTCGTAAGTTTAACGAATCAGAAACTCACATTCAAAGGATAAACCAATCATAAACTACTTCCGCACTTCCGGAAGTTAGCGAAGAATGGGTAAATTTCCCACAATCCAATCAGAGCTCTCCTCTTACAATATAAAGAGAAAGGGAGAAAGCCTAGGACTGAAGTGCTCTTGCTCTGCAGGTGGAAGATGGCTCGCACCAAGCAGAC